GACGCTCACGCTGTGAAACGTCGGCGTCAGGTGAAAAGTGTAATGAAATGGTGGAGGTACTATATTAATCTTGAGGATACTTCGGGAGCTAACGATCTTGTCGAGTTGAGCAATTCGCACTGAGAAAGCAGTTGATTGCATGGCCGACTATGCATTTCTCTAGCCCACGCTGTAAATAATACAACGAATTGATAATTTAATTAGAATTGTGATACTACTTGGATTTAACAGAGAGCTTTGCGCTAATAAATAAAATAATAAATAAAATAAAATAAAACGAATTTGCAAAGAATAGAGGAGGATAATAAGTGATCCGATTAAATATCGCGGATGTTTTTTTGCCGATCCTTATACCGAATTTAACATCATATATATATATATATATATATAGTCTATACAACCCGCTGTATTTCTCAGTGTTCAAAAAAGTTAATTGAGTTTTCTACAATGTGAGTTAGCTGCGATTGATACAAAATCCCATCACAAATACCTAGTAATAGTATAAATCATCATACAAGAAACAACTCATAATTATTTGCCTTTAACGAGTTAATGGGGCGAGCGTTTTACAAGTTTTGCAAGATGCGCAGTTTGTAGCCTGAAATCCGCTGCTGACTAATAATATGTTTTACCAATCCATAATAATACGACTAAACAAAAATAATCGCTCCTTATCACCATTAAGGGAAAGCGTAGGTGGATAAAGAGAGCTTCCAATCCCTTTTACATTATAATTCTGAGATGTAATATTATTATTATAATAGCCTTACTCTTTCAACATCTTCCGTATATAAAACAACGCATTTCCATGTGTTATCACGGTGGCAGACACATCCTCACATCGTCCTTTTATCCGCTCTAGGATATTTTTCTCCCATTCGTGTGTCTTTACTATCATCTGCTCTACGGGCCATCTCGACACTCAGCCCGGAAGCCCAATCTCGACCTCCCTATCCCATCCTTCTCGACTGCCTTCCGATATCTCGTCGCGCGTATCCGATCTTTATCGAGATCGAGTGGTCATTTGGTTATCGAGACTTCATTTAGTAGCAATGAATCGCCAATAAACTGTTCTCCTCCTCTCCCCCTCCACCCGTCGAGCACCCCTTCTCATACCCCAGTTCGCGATTCTCCGGAATCACGCACCTCTTGGACGCGCGCCCGATCAACTTCAAAACCGCCGTCTCTTTCTTTTCCTTTTTACAACCCACTCGGAGCGTCTCTATTTGTTTTTTTCACCACGGCATCCCTCGCGCACCTGCAAACCGTTGCTTTATCTTCGGTTCCTTTCACCACATATATGTATGTATGTTTCGCGTGAAGAAGTTTCGCAGAAGAGGGGAAAAAGAGATAAAGAACTTTGTCGCTACAATGGCTGAAAAGGAGAGGGAGTAACGAGCGTAGAATGAAAACGAACGGCAGTCGACGACCTTTTGCTTTCGGCTGCTTTAACCCGACTGGCGAGTTTAACGTACGCCCTCTTTATCTCTATTTCTCTTGATTTAAGAGTGGAAACTATGTGTAGACGAAGCTTGTGTAATTAAAATACGTGGACCAAAGAGGAAAGATTTTTTAATTGGAATTTCACGGGCTCCCACTTTCCCGTGTATACGTCTACCTCGATTTCTCCTAAATTTTTCCTCCTTCAATCTTTCCCCTCCCTCCCTTCCTCTCATCATTCCACCCTTCTTCCCTTCCTTCCTTCCTTCCTTCCTTCCTTCCTTCCTTCCTTCCTTCCAACCTTCCTACTTTCCCTGTTTTCTTCCGTGCCTCCATCCATCCGCCCTCCCGTCCTTTCTTCTTTCCTCCTTATGGTACGTGTTCCATCATCCACGTGCATTGTGCCGTGCAGCAAATTTCACAATCTTTATACACGAAAGCGTGAAAGCCTAAAACTAATTACTCGACTTTTTAATTACGTGAGACTGTGGCACTGATTTAAATGTTGCTGCACTCGCTTTGCTGAATATTCGGTTGCTGGCGCTTTATTTTTATGTTGGTTTTGTGCTTCAGTACACGGCTATGATTCGCTTGAAGTTGCCGTATTATATAGCAAGGCCACTCTGTCAACCTGCACTTAATAACGCTTATGTACGCTATCCAATCCTAATATGCAATAAAACGCTGTTGTGTTTTGAAAATACGAACGAGCAAATGAAAGAATCGGACGCACGTTTGAGTAAAATTTTAGCAGCGTGTGCGCGGTCCTACTCTACGTATGAAATATGAGAATGCGGATAAACACGAGTAAATTCCGGTGAGCGGTAAAACGATCGTTCGTTCCCTTTGGCCAAATATCAAATAAATCATAAGCACGCTGCTCGAATATTTCTATTTGTGCGTGTGTCTCTATGCACTTGTATGACCGATGACTGGTGTTCGATGTCTTAAAAGTTGCACGTGTGCGCTTGTCGCGAACGAGAAGGTGTGCAAGTCGCATGCTAATGCGCGCAACCGCATTCGGCTTGAGCACCTTCAGCATGTTTGTATGTTCAGAGAATCCAATCAACACGAAATTGCCTAATGACTTCATTTTTTTATTTTATTATAACGCGTAGTACTGGATGATGAGCAAAACAGGGGAAATACGCAGAGACGAGGCCTGTCTTGATTACAGCGGCACAGACGTCATAATCTATCCGTGTCACGGTAGCAAAGGCAACCAGCAATGGACTTATAATGCACAGGTATGTATCTATACGACTACGTGCGTGGATTTGTGTTCGCGTATATATTATTTACAAAAACAAATCAGTGGATACGATTAATTGTCCTTTTCACCGTAACATTTTATGGCTATTACTGCTTCAAGGTTATAATATAATAATTCCAGTTAAAATTTACTACACTGATCTTTCAAAGTAAAAAATTTAATTACATTGTTTTATCGTTGCTAATTAATAAATAGTCTCAATCATTGTATTTGACAATGTTTTATTAAAAAAATCTTTATACATCGGCTTATATAGAAAGATAATATCAACATAGAAACTTAATATCAACATTTAATTAGAAGAACATTTAATATCAACATTAAAATAGAAACTTAATATCAACATTTTTAAGGATTTTTCTTTCACTGCACGTATAATAATAATAATAATAATAATAATAATAAAAAAATAGTAATTATTGTCAAAGAATTGAAATGAGCATAATGTAGTTTATATAGCTATGATATTATATTAATGATAATCGATTCGATCAAAGTATAAATATGATTTTTGACTTTTAGTACTTACTTCACCACTTATTCGTAATGATAGAATATTGAAGTAATAACTATTCAATCTAATAATACCAAACTTTTTATTGTTTCATTTGATAAAATATATTTTAAAATTCCTTTCACAATTAAGCCTAAAGGCGTTGATGTTTTTGATAATGATTTTATTGTCAAAAATGTATAAATAAGAATAGTTACAATTATCGATTAATTAAGAATGCAGTTAATGTAAACTCCAAAAATAGTTACAAATTAGAAATATATTGCAGAAACAAGGTATTTCTGCCACATGAAGTCTTGTAAACTAGAATAATTTTATTAAATCAACAAGTTTTCTGGTTGGATCAACCAGAGTTATCAAAGGATAGTATCGAATGTAATTTATCTTATCTGTAATTTTATATCTTTGGTCATTTTCTTTCAATTTTCCTTGAATTGATAAAAAAAAAAATAAAAAATTTCTTTAAAAATTAAATACCAATTACATTTGCGTAAAATTAAAAATTTGCTCCTATTCTTTACTATATAATATTACAATAACATATAATCTGATTATATTTTTATAGTAAAAATCATTTATGGCTAACCAGAACTCTAACAAAAGCATTCAAACTATTCGACCAAATAATTAAAATGTCCACAATACTAAAATCATTCGAATAATAGAGGAATAATAAAAAAAAAAATTAAAAAATTTTAATATATCAGTTTTCAGTTTCATAATACCGTTGAATGAACAACGAAAAATCATTGTTAAAAAGATCCATAATAAGAATTCACTTCTTTTATTCGAAAAGTCGATAAATTTATATTGTATTTAAAGGCTTATATTTTCTTCAATTAAGTTTAAATTTTAAAAAGATTGGTACATAGATTCTTTTGAAAAATTTTCACATAATTAAAAATGCCGTTAAAATAAATATAAATTAAGAAGTTCAATTCAAAGGTAAAATAAGATAAAATTATTTCAAATGAATAATAACTCAGACATGTTAAATATTTGGATAGATACTGATTGATTAGAGTACTTTATATCGCATCATATTCAAGCAGATTAAAAAGGTTTTTTTTAATCATAATTTCATTTTCATTTTTTGAATTGTGATTTATGTAAAAAGAAAAAAAAAAGAAAGAAAAAACAAATTAATCTCCAATGACTAATATATTCAACAATGCGTCAGTGTTAATTGAAATACACAAATAATAATAATCTGCATATTATTATTGATTTATTGAAATAAAATTTTAAAAATTTGAAAGTTCTTCAAGATATGGAGTAGCATTATTTTATGGTCTTATTAGTGCACAAAGTTATAAAAAATTTATTATGTTGAATTAAATTACAATTTTTTAATTCAATATATTCTCTAGTATTTCTAAATGAAATGCAGATTTAATCTTTTGCATAAATTTATAAAATGCTCGACACGTTGCTTATATAATAGTATGTGAAATAACTTTGATCTGTTTAATACATATTCAAATATAAATTTATAAAATCTTAACATTTGTATTGCGATGATAGATTTAGGTTTATACTAAATTAAATCTAATAACACTTTAAACCATTCGCTTATCCATAATTATCATTTCTAATATGTAACTGAGCGTATTAATTAATGAAAATTTTCGTCCTCTATTTCTAATTAGAACTAAATGCAAATTATATTTCAAACAAATTAACTTTAAATTATATCTATTTCTTGTTTGATTAGTTTTATACATTTAATAACATTTCTATGGCCAATGGTGAGTTCCGAATCTGAGTAAATCTTTGAAAACCAAGTTTTTTACATTCTATCTAAATTGATTTAAACGAAATTTATTCATATTAATCGTTATCATAACGTTTTAACTATTTAAATATTTTATGATATCTACCAATTTTATTGCACGATGTTCGGTGTATTTATATAGGAATATACATACTTTCTTAAAGTTAAATCGAAATATGGATAAATTTTAAATGCCCTAAACGAACTAACTATATAACAAACTTTTATTATTAATAGTCAAATAGTGTGCACAAAATTAATATTGTATAGATAAATTAATCAAATTTTTCTTTGTTAACAAAAATTACTTTATTGTAATCGCGATATATTAATTAATAATATTAAAATTATACTATTATTCATTTATAAATATAATATTAAAATCTTTAAATATTATTTTTTTAATACCTTACAAAACTTCACTTTTTACCTTATGACATTGCTAATTATAAATATTGATTTTTAATTCTTAACATCTCAAGATTTAACTAATTCATATTTTTATTACTATTTCCAAGAAAAAAACGTCGCATAAATTAATGTAAATAAATATATTAATAATAATATTGATACGTCGAATGATTCGTGATGTTTTTTAAATTTGATGTTAATAAACAATAATACTTTCCTTTATCTTTATTTTGTCTTTATTGTTTATAATGTATATTTTTAATAGCATAATTATTACGGCATTAAGCTTTATTGACATTAACGGGTGAGTTGAAATCTTGAGATTGTATTAATTCTTTATTCTGATTCTTCTTCTTTATTTTCATCAATATGAACATTTTAAAATTATTATCGAGTTCGTTAAACTAATTAAATTTTTTTAATTTATAGTCAATCTTTATAAATGTTATTAATTAGTATTGATCAATTAATTGAGCATTCGTAACTAAAATTTCGTCAGATTACGAAATTACATAGCTAAAGAATATAATTTGTATTCGTCGTTATCGAATGCAAGATTTATTTCATTTTTATTATTTTTATTACTGATGTCGGCAAAGTTTATATGCTATTCTTCTTTGACTTCATTTGAAAAGTGAGCTTCTATCAGGTTTTATGTCAACATCATTTTCAACTATGTAGACAATTATAAATAAAATTTACTCCAATAATATAACATTAATTCAATGATTTCAAATTTCTCGTAATATTTGTTAATGTAATAAAATTAATTCTGTGATCTAATGGTTTTGAAATAAAATTATAAGAACCCGTATCACTCTATTTGCAATTTTTTAAATAATAAATATTTATTTAAAACTTAAAACCAATGGGTTAACATTTTCTTATACTCTTTTATATTGTATTTCTATAGCTACAGAATTTCTTAATTTATTTTCTCTAATCGATCACTTACCTTTATAAAGTTTTTATTCAGTATAATGAATGATATTTGTACATAGAAGTGTAAATAGAATTTAGATTTCAAATCAAGAAGAAGATACTCAAGTGAATTATCTTGTTTAATCCTTGGTAAAAATAATTAAAAGTATGAATCGATTTAATTTTTTTAAGAAAAAAAAAATGAAATAAATAAGTACAAACTATAAGAAGATGTAATCTTAAAGTAATTTATTATATGTAAGAAAAGTGTGTGAGCTGCCAGTTGATTTGGATTTTCACGTGGTAAAAACAAGCAGTTGATATAAATCTTGTCAGAAAAGAAAAGAGAAAAAAAAAATGTTTGAGTAATCTTAACATTCCGCCGTATTGATTTATATCAAATTTGTCATTTGAAAGTTCGTAACCCATATGCTACTTCGTTATGAAAACATGTTTATTTAAATTCATGCATTAAGGAAAATAAAATGTAATGGTAAAAATGAAAAAAGAAAATGAAAATATAAATTTGAAAGCGAAAGTCGATAGGAACACGAAGTTAGTGAATTAAATGTTCAATTTAAGAAGATGAAACAAATTAATTTATCCACATAATTTTTACGTAATATTTGAGTAAAAAACGCAAGTACTGATTTGTGAACTTTTTCAAATTAAAGCAGATTTATTTTATTGATATTTATTTTTAATTAACGACAAGTTTATACTACTACGCATTGATGTAATGCCGGATTTTTCCTTGCGGAGCACAACGCCCAAGTGCATTGGTTAAAATAAACATTTTATTAAAATTCGTAATCCATAGGCAGCTGGATAAATAGATAAATGCGTGAATGATGGGCATATAGATCGATAAATGGCTGACTGGATGGATGGACGAGTCCTTCTGTTCATTCTAAAATCTTGCTCGCAATTTGAAATGTTGGCGTTAAATCGATCAGTCGATGACTAACTCGAGGATAAAATGTCCTTACTCTTGCAGACGAAGCAGATAAAGCACGAGAGCAGTGGCAAATGCATGTCCATCACCGAGAGCAAGATCCGGCTGCTGATGGAGGAGTGCGCGGCTGCGGCGCCTCGGCAGAAATGGGTCCTGGAGAACTACGACCCCACGAAGCTGTGATATCGCGTGCCGCTCCGGGCGCTCCAGCAATAACAGCGGCAGCGACGGCAGGAGTCGCTGCCCCAACGCTGATGATGCCCGTCGAGAAGCCAAGGAGCCTCTTTCTACTACATTCCAGCTCGCTTCCCTGCTTCTTCCGCTCGTCCTGCTCCGGCTGCGTACGCCGAAGTTTCAAGACGAGGATACATTTTTAACAAACTCGACGTTATACATACGACGAATTATTGTTGGCGAGTGTTATATTATTATTATTGTTGTGAGGACATTCGCCCGTTTTACTTATCGAAGGGAGAGTTATTATTATTATAAAAACATGGCGTATAGTCCCTCGAATCACCGGGACGTCTTCTTGTTGGACATTTCTTCTACTTTTTAGAGGCAAATGATTGATGATTAAAAGAAACTAATGATATAATAAGAATATATATAATATAAGTAATGGGCTTAAAGCGTTAAGTTTGTGCTGCCACTGCACACGTTGACAAATTATTTTTATATTTTTTCTATAATAAACGAAATAGAAACTTGTCGTAGACCTTGTACATTTCTGTAAAATAAACTTAACTACGATCAATGCCAGTTTATTGTAGAATTAAGTCCAAGATATTGGAGAGGTAAAATTTTTGAAAATATTAAAGAGAACGAAGTGTGATTCGCGAGAGAGGTTTCCTGATTAATCAGTGAATGATATCTCTTTATTATTATCTCGAATGGCGCGAGAATTTTGAGTGGAAAATATAAAAGTATAGAATTCAAATGGATAAGCTGAAAGATAGATAGATATATAGATATATAGAGATAGATAGATAGATAAAGGGAGGGAGGGGGGAGAGAGAGAGGGAGAGAGAGAGAGAGAGAGAGTGCGTGTGTGTGTGTGAGCGAGCGAGTGAAAGAGAGAAAGGAAAAAGAAAGACAGATAGTTTGATAAATAGGTAGATAGGTTAAAATAAAGGGAGAAAGCGTGAAAAAACAAAAGTGTGTATACTACTGTGTGTAAGAGTCTGTATGCGCGAGACTTTAAATTAGCTCATTACTAGTTGCCAATTATTGTAATCGATAAATAAATCTGAAGCCCCGTGTCGGGGGATCGAATTCCGCCGAACCCCAGACCCCATTATTTGCCCATGACGAATACAATCGATAGACCCGAGTATCACGAGCTGTGACGAAGAAGGAAGCTATAGATCACATAAAAAAAAAATATTCATGCAGATTCGGATAATCGAATCGCATCACTGGCATCAACATTTGCACTCCGTTCTCTACCAATAAATTAGACTGGCAACTTTCACCACGGCCTCCTTTCAATCAACGAATTAACAATCTTATTACGATAACTTGCTTGCAATTTCCGCTAATTTAGATCATAATGAGAGAAGGACATTTTCAGTAAGTATTTCGTGGTCGACTACTAACTTCTTCCATTTATATCTTTTCGGAAATTCGTTTCGATTGTACAACTGATTGTTGCGTCAAATAAGTAGGTCTGCGTGCTCGTTAATAAAATACGATGTCGTCGAACGAAGAGATTAAGAAAGGGATAGCCGTTTATGTATGAACGACAAATATACGTATATATTATATACATAGATAACCGATTGAATACATACATCGGCGCAACACTAGCCCAATACACGCACAATCGTGAATGCGCGCAGGTATATGGGTATGCATACTGACGCATGCGTATATGTATGCATATATATATATATATATGTGTGTGTGTGTGTGTGTGTGTGTGCGCGCGCGCGCGCGCGCGCGTGCGCGTGTGTGTATGCGTATTTATGCACACGGGACATTTTCTACATTTGGTAAGGACGCGGTATATCGTAAGAGAAAGTGACATATGATACAGCGCGGCGACAATGCGGTTTGTGAATTCTCGGCATGACGCACGCCGGGCGCTTAACCATGTAATATCGAACGTGCCTTAAATTGCGTGTACATAAATATTACGAGTTAGAATTAAAAACTATTGTCATCATCACGAAAAAAAAAGAAACTCTACGATATCGTGCAACAATTTGTGTTAAATAAAATCGATGTTGTTTTACATTATGGCATTACATTATGGTTTATCCCTTCGTCTTCTCTACATCTCCTTAAATACCAATGATTTCCCTTCAACTATACTATACTATACTAACTATACTACTGCTACTGTACTATGCGCGAAAAAATTATTTCTATAATGAAAATTAATAACAATGTTCAAAAATCACCTTTCTTAATTATTGTCCGATTATCGAGTATCTTCAAAGATAAACGATATTCTGAAGCATAAAGATAATAAAAGAACATTTATGTTTTGGTTTTTGTTTTTTTTCTTTTTCTTTTTTGTTTCATACGGCAAAAAGAAAAAGAAACTGCATGATGAAATATTTAATGAAACTTCCTAATTTTGTAAAATTAACTTGTGATCATGAACAACGTGTACGTTCGATATCTGTAGAGAATCACAGACCTCTATGATGATTTTATACAAGTAAAAGAAACGGGAACAACCCATATTCCTATCGTGTATTTTTAATGCTAAAAGTAGCAATTTAGTGCAACGAATAAATTCATCTACGTATCTTCTTATACTAACAGATAAACGAAAACGAAATCGCTCGTTATTCTAGCGCAGTCGCATTATGAACGTACGGACGAGTATCGTCGCTTTGGCTGCTTTTGCGCCGAATCCGTAACTCGGCTCACAAAGGCACTTCTCTCTTTATTAAGCTCTTATTCAAATTCTCTGGCTTTTAATATGGACAGTGCCAAAGGTCTGAATTTAAGTTTGAATAAAATTATAAAAACATGTTTGAAAATTTGTAAATTGAAAAAAATTGTATTTCAAAGGCTCTTATGCATTAGCGAGAGAATTTATACAAAATACGATTTAGATAGATGAATATTTCATAAAGTGTAAATGCGTTGCTGTTGCTGTTGTTGTTGTTGTTGTTGTTTTTGCAGAGCTTAATTATTGTAGAAGAAAGTTATTGCTTCATATTCAACTTTCAGTCGAGTAAAAGCATCGTTTAACATTTTAGGTTTAAGTTGGCTAAATTTCTTTATTGTGAGAATTTATTTGAATCGATAAGAAAATATATCCCGGGTCTGATAGCGTTTATTATTACATTTGCATTATCATTGTCAACTTATCTCTCCTCTTCATTTAAGCAAAATAAAAGCTTTACAAATATTCTATCGTCCACCAAATAAACGTCATTAATGTGGAATCCCGGAATGGAACGATCTATCATTTATCAATTATATTTTGTAATAACTATACTAATGCCAACAACATCAAATAATTATTCTTAGAAAACAGACGTAACAATATAACGATTAAAACGACCCATTAAGACCGTATAATTATAAAATAACAATGAAGTTTGGCATTTAAAGTAATATGCAGAATACGCGATGAAATATCCGCAATGAAATCGCTTCAATGTAAAAGTAACAAGTAAAAACATGAATATGCGCACGCGTTTCAGTGATGAATGAGCGGATAACGGCGCTTGCGCGTAAGTACCATCGCTTTTGAGCTTGACCTCCTTTCTCTGCTATCCACATCCAGCAATTATTTTTACCCCTTTGACACGATCTACCCACAATACGACATAATTTATATTAATGTAAGTGGTCGAACGATTAGGGAACCTTAGTCGATGGCATTTACGTGCAGTGAAAAGATAGATACCTTAGAGGCGCGTTGAGATAAAAAGGAAGTCGATGCAAAAAGAGATGTATCGCCGCCCTGATTAGCGAATCCTTTCGACTTGAAATACGCCGAGCGGTCCGGTATGATGAAAAGAAAAGCGAAACGAGGAGGATCGAAGGGGATGCCGCTGTCTAAGCTAATTGAGATCCGAGAGGTAAAATCAAGGGGTCGGAGTGGGTAGGGCCTAACAAAGTGCACATTATTGGAAAATTGAGGCTGTGTGGGATAGCGTGTGGGGTTGGAATTGGGGGCGGAGGCACGCTTGTATAGATCCGCCTGGCGATACGCGCGTGCGGGATTGCGGTCGCGCAGGCGCGGGCAAGCGGCGGCAGCTGAGCAGCCTCGCGCGCTCCCAAGGCTCTTAGTTCGCATCGTTCAGGTGGCGGAGGATCGATGAGGAGCGCCGGCCAAGAAACCGCTGTCTAAGCAGACCAACTCGAGCTCGTTCCTGGAGAGCGCATCACGGAATCCCGAGATCCGAGCAACAGGTATCGCACAATTAACTCTCGACGCCGACGTGTCGCGCGTCGCTTCCCAACCGCAGCTGCTGCACGACGAAGAAGAACTGGGGGGGGAAGAGCTCGGTGTAGAGGAGGAGGAGGAGGATCAGGAGGAGGAGGAGGAGGAGGAGGAGGAGGAGGAGCAGGAGGACGAGGAGCAGGAGAGAAAAGGGACGGAGGGATCGGAGGGTGAGACGGAGTCGGAGGAAGAAAAGGAGGATAAGACGAGGATCGCCCTATCCGCCAGCATCGAGATGCCGGAAGCCTCGAGCTCGTCCGGGACCGCCCTTGACGACCTCGATAACTCGACCTTCGAGAACAAGAGCGGCCTCGCCGAGGACATGAAGTTTCTCGCTCGTATGCCAGAGCTCTGCGACGTCACCTTCCTCGTAGGCGAAACGCGGGAACCGGTCTGCGCGGTAAAGGCCATCCTCGCCTCCAGGAGCAAGTGCGTATATACCCGTGCGCGAGCCCCTCGCGGCTGCTTGGCTAAACGAATTCTTTAACTTGCACGCGTAGGGTCTTCCACAAGATGCTGTACCAAGCGCCGAGTCCCCAGCGCAAAAAGGATCCCCCGCCCAAGGAAAATAAGCTCAAGTACTTTCTCAAGAGGAGCTCCGAGCCCCTCCTAAACATGCAGAATGCCGCGCAACAGGTAATTATGCGATTCTTCTATCCTCTTGGCAATTACCTTAGCCTCCGACTGCGATACACGCTACTTGACAAAATCTACAAATGAAAATACAAAGCTATGATAGCGAGCGTAGCTGTGCGTTCGCCGTAACGAGGACAATAGTATCATTATTTTAGCCTTCAATAGCATTAATTTTACATACACCTACGCATAATATGTTGGGTTTAATTTATAAAGACACCATATGTTGTGTGCCATGTAGCGGTCAAGCTTCACGCAGCAGCTGGCTCCCATTCAAGAGGTATCCCATCAATAATACAATCTGCATCGCTTTTATTACCCTTCTCACGTAGCTACTTTTATGTTCTTAAGCGCCGATAATTATTGTACATCGAGCAATGATAGTATAATATCGTTGTTTGCCTCACAACGTAACATTTCACTGTACATAACCTTAATCCCTTCAACGTCCCTTTCACGATCCCTTAGGACTTAAACTCCTAACTTTGTTTTCTTTTGCTTCGGAATTTTACGTTATTGGCTTTCGGATAATTTTGACCAATCATCTAGACAGTATCGCTGATAATTATTACGCATGCGCATGCTATTGGACACCTTCTCAAAATCCACATCTATTTAGCAATTTACCGTTTTCTATATAGTGTGTATTAATTATATCTTGTGACTTTCTGACACTGCGTATATAGAGGATTTGGCAAGCACTTATATTTATTCGATAACACCATTTAGAAGTTTTAAAAATGTTCTTAATAGCGTAGAAGTAACTTATGTGCAAACACTAATATTGAATAAATGTCACATTTATAATGTAAAACAATTATATTTTTATTTAGAATTCCGGTACTAGTGTGTAGTCGAGTTTTATCAAAGTAACATTTAATTGGTTGAAGGTGAAGTTTTTTAGTTTTGGTGGAAATTTAACAATATTAGAGACAATCCTCCTATCTATATATGTATATATATATATATATTTTTTTTTTTTTTTTGATAATTAGGAGTCTTTAATATTGAAAATGTTGCAAAGTTCTTTCAGGACATGGCTCACACAACTTTTTCTCATATTGTTATTTGCGAAGTTGCGATAGACTAAATTCTCTTGACTTTGACGCTAATTAAAGGTCTGATTCACGATGTAGAAAATTCGCGTGGTGTGCAATTATAATGAGAACGAGAACAATTGGTCATAAAGTCGCTTCACTTAGTCATTGATTTAACGACTGCTTCGGCATTGCAACGGCGCATCGAATATCCAGCCAAATTCGGTTACTTCACCTTCTCCCAAACTAATATCCCCTATCATATTGAAATCGTCATTATATGTATAGCAAATATTCGACTACCGCCCTTATAACTTCTAATGGTCATTTGTGTAACCGCAGCCTCAGTCGTATCAGCACCACACTCTCATCGTCGATGAATTCGAGCCGGATGTTTTTCGTCAGCTGATCGAGTACATTCACACGGGATGCGTCACACTGCAGCCACGCACACTACTTGGTAAACGCTCAATTACACTCATTGCTTGCTCGAAAATTTCTCATCCTGTTATTGTTCTCTTGCATACTTCAAACGAACGAATGACCGATGGACGCAGGAGTGATGAATGCCGCCGATTATTACGGGTTGGATGAACTTCGACGCGCTTGTGCTGGATTCATCCAGTGTTGCATTACCGTCGACACAGTCTGCGCGCTCTTGGCCTCGGCTGAACGATACATTCAATACAAATGCACCAAATCCTTGGTGCAAAAGGTAAACGCTAGTGCATAATATGCAAATGCAATGGCTTTGTAAAAGCGTTGAAAAGTACAACTGCGAGAGGCTTAGTGGCCCACATCGCGATGACCTTCAATATTTATAATGATGATGAATTTTCAGCATCAAACTCTACTATCCCATCATAATCATTTATTCTAAACGCTATGTTAAAAAAAAAAAAAAAAAAAAAAAAAAAAAAAATAAAAACGTTCATGAGTTAACGGTATCATCGTTCGTCATAGAACTTACGTTATCACCATTAAATGAATAACTAATACGCATTAAAATAGTTAATAGCAAATTTCTGAAGATTATGCATTTTTCAAAATTAACATACGTACAGCACAAAGTCGTTATTCATTCGTATTTATTTTCTTTATAACATATAAATTTTTATCTTCCTAACGTTTCTTTGAAGAGCATCATATCATAAATATCATAAATCATAAATTTTTTGTAACATTTAAATATATAATTTATAAGTCCTAAAATAATAATTAATAGTCCAGTCTTGTGTAATATAATTTTCTTCCTTACGTTAAAATGTTGTCATATCAAATAAACAAATAAATAAGCTTTACCATTAAATATAAGACTGTGTAGGTTATAAAATAGCAGTTTGATCGGATGTATTTCTCATGATTAAATTAAATCTTTTAACACTGATAATCCTTTAATATTATTTATCATATTGTAAAATCAGATAATCAATAAATTAATCGAATCAAACTAGAAGTACTTGTACAACAGAAAAATATAACATTATGAAATGAATATATACTAATCTTAAATTATTAATATCTATATGTGAGAGTATTATTTAATATTTATAAATTTATTAATTCATTTATCTGCAATAAAATATAAGGGAAATCGTTTGTAAATATTTTTAGTCTAGTTTAAATAGGCAATAAGGAGTTCATTAGTTAAATGAAATTTAACGGAGCTGTACAAATTTAAATATAAGAATAAAGTAATAGAATTAAAAAAAACTTGCGATATAGTATATATTGTTTACAGGATTGTTTGATAATATTTTTCTTATCTTGCCCAGGTTTTAGAATTTGTCGATGAGCGTGGAAATGAAGTACTTAATCTTGGATCGTTCACGCTGTTGCCGCAACACGTTGTGCGTTTAATTTTAGCTCGGGACGAATTGCATGCTGATGAGTTTACCAAATTTCAGGTATAAAATAAATATGTCCACATAAGATGGAATAATAATGAGTCGTTAATTTAAATTATTCACGATTTCTCCTCCTCCTCTCCCACCCTCCCCTCATTTCTCTCTCTCTCTCTCTCTCTCTCTCTCTCTCTCTCTCTCTGCACCTCAACTCCACCCCACTCCATTCCACTCCACCCCTGCATTTAGGCTGCACTAATGTGGAGTAAAAAGTATTGCGATAGTAATACAACAATGGATCTCAAGACAGTTATTGGCAACTTTATCGAATATATTCAATTTCACAAGATCCCAGCAAATGTTTTGATGCACGAAGTTCATCCCTTAGGACTAGTGCCAAATGCTATTATCGTTAATGCTCTGGCCTATCAGGTGCGCACACTTATTTCTATATTTATTTTCAAAATAATCGGTAGTCATTTTTTTCCATTTGAAAATTGTATATCTTTATGATCGAAGGAAGGCTCGTCGTTAGTTGTACAAACATTTTACAAAAATCTCATCGTATTTCATGTATTATTATGAGATCGATAATGAACATTTTAAATTTTATGTTTATTTAAATTATTTTAATCTCAATTCGACATATGTTTAACAAAATAATTACCCTAATTAAAAGTCATCACTCTTAATAGCAAATTGTATAGAAAACTGTATTGAAATATTACAAAAATTTTGGTAAATAGATCTGCATTTATATAGTGTATTTGTTATTATAAAGGTCAGTTATTTTTATAAACAAAAATAGTTGTTGAAATAATCTTAATTAAAATATTGGCTCGCATTGGTTAAGAATTCACGTAAATATTTGTAGTTGAAACGATACTTGGTAATTTTCGATTAAGTTACACTTTCAATCGAGAGATGACATTGACTATTGCCATGGCATTTTAATTAAATTATTAAGAATGATTATTATAAAGATGATTGGCTACTTGTGTATGTGTATGAATTTAATTGCATAAAAGGAGGCGCGTGTTTGCATGTGTGGGAGGCTGCGAGCAGTAAGCTCGGCTTTTGCAACCGCAAAAACATGTCGACGCGCGCACGCAAATCAATAATCCTGTTGATCGATGGGACTCTGTTGCAGGCAGACCCAACCAGTGTTGACCCCGGGCAGCTCTCTCCCCACAGAGTGAGAAGGCAGGGCCGCAGCATGTCGGTTCAGTCCTCCCTGGACCCCTACGGTAGCAACATGACCTTAAACTCTTTGGGAAGTGACGCCGGCTCCGGGAGCGAGCACCGCCAGCACTCCGGTAGCAACTAACCTACGGCAGCCGCGGTCGTGGATCCAAATGCGGCCGCGGGTCCGGAGGAGTCCTGTTTTCGATACAGCTTTCGCCTAAGTGGTAACCAACAGCAGCAACAGACCTCCTCGTGTTCGGGCGCCGAGTCGCTGAGTATAGAAGAGGAGCCCGAGTTCCGGGACCGGCAGCCGATCCTCGTGAGGGCAAATGTCGAGCTCGTACCTGCGATCCCGAATACCCGGATCGAGTCGACGAGACCCCTTGGCCTTACCGATCATTCAAGCCTCTACATACGTATGGTCCTCAGGCAAGAGGGTCATCTGGCTAATCTCGTCTGGCTTTACAAGACACACAAATTTTAAGCTCGATGTTCCACACACGACGATTAGTAAATGTCATCGGCATACTGTGTCCACATACTCGCTGCTTTCTTGCTTCCCTTCCAACCGATTGTGTGGTAATTTCCATGATAACGTAATACCTGCCCTACAATCTTTCATACGCCTTCATTTCATACATAACATATTACGCTCTTTCTCTATCTCTCTCTCTCTCTCTCTCTCTCTCTCTCGTCTGTTTATTCATTCTTCGTGTACGAACTTTCACTTTTCTAAATCTCTCCAATTATGTACATTTAACATTATTGACTTTGTCGTAAATTTACTCGAAGCAACTAATGATGATCATTCAAATACGTTAACGACCAAACTCGCGTGACCCCTAGGTTCATTAAATACCTTGTTTCTAACATTTCGGTCGACTCTTATTAGTAAACATCCTACTCGATGCTCCCCTCTTATATACAATAGATTTTACCAATACAGTCTGCAATGATACTTTTACAAAGAAAAATAATGAATCTTCAATACAGGAACAATAATCCTTATAAATGCTATCCTGTAATTAAGATCTTTATTTTTGCAACATCTCCAAATTACGGATACACTTACGCACGCGCACGTCTAATCAATAATCTTTATAAATTCATCGACTTTTTATTTTTAACATCTTTCAATTTCAATGTTGCAATTATTTTCAAAGCTGTATTATCTCTCATTGTTATAAACCCGCAAGACTGTACATGATTTACGTAAGTATTTTACGAATCCTTACTAAGAATCGAAGAATGCACGCCATGCACGAAAATGTCTACCTAGTCATTATATAAAATCAAATCATTACACAATAGAATTCTGTAGAATTGTGTGTAGCCGCATCTCAACTACACTCTCCATACGTCTGTAATACAAAAGAATAATATTTTTTAAATCTATTTTTCCACGAGCCGCGAGAATGCAGAGAATTAAAATAATTATTTGCCTTTCTATCGCACAATTTGAATACAAAGTTATTATAATACATTTCTAAAGTGCAACAAAATACATATCATATATTTTTACAGTTTCTGTTCGTAAGTCTTCGACTAATAAAATGGTGTATAAACATTAATAAGAATTATAGTTGTTTTTTTCTTTCTTCTTTTTTTTTTTTTTTTTTTGTTAATATATTGAACATTCGAATATTATATTGGACTTGTTACGAAATGAATGAGCATTCATTACTTTTCAACTACGAATCTTTAAATGTTTCAATACTTTCATTACTTTTGCTATAAAAAGCGTACTCTCCTGTGATGAAATCATGTTGTATTTACAAAACGCTTATATACATTGTTGCCAATGTTGTTATAATATATTTTGATGTTACTGTCGTGTTTTGTGTATTGTTCATAATTGTCACGGCAATGTCTAAGCACATATTCATTGGTATTATAGTTCCATGTGACAACCCAGTGGATTCATACCAGATATATGAATTACGAAACATACGTATGCATGTATACATGTTCCTATCCGTGCAAAAAAGTCGTAACAAAAGTTAAAAGAAACTTATATTATATTCAAAGGACAAAATATAATTGACGTATAATATACTACACATGTATTCCCCATCAATATCCAAGGATATATATATATTTTGTAAATGTTATTTTCTAATGAAAAATTCAGCAAATGATAACAGCAAATTATACATTTCAATCAGAGTAATTATAATTTATTTACTGAAATCACTAACTAGAACAAGAATTATTGACAATTAAATATTCAGAATCGGATTTATAAAATATGAAATATTAGAAATTTAAGACGACGTTTTCTCATAAAGTTTAATCTATAAAGAATATTTCGATATTGTACTTTTAATATTGATTTTACGATATCAATATATTTCTTTCATTATGTTTGATTGTTCATTGTGAAAAGCTAATAAAGTATAAAGAAGATAATAAAACATGTTCTCATTATATATTATATTGCAGTTGTTTATTGATAAAATCCATCAATGTCTATATAATTATATATCGAATTAAATATTATCAAAGCTAATAATGAGGTATTTCATTTTAAAAAATTATTTAATTGCTATTAAATTAAATTACTTTAATACATGTTTCATTGTTATAATATTCATTATGCTCATGTATATTATCGCTATTGATTATGTTCAGTATACTTTAAATTCAAAATACAAAGTATATGAAAATAAAAATTAAACAAGAAAAAGCATATTGGATTTTACAATAAGCGACAATAATTTTACATGTCTTTTATAAAAATATATTTTATACTTTTCAATAATATGAAAAATCTAAAATACTCTATTTTAAAAGGATAGTCAATATGTTGTCATAAGAAAATATAAATGAAAGAGAAACTTTCTGCGTAAGAAGTAGCTTTAACCAAATAATTTTATTCGTTATATGCCTCCATCTTCATTGAAAATATTTAAGAACGATGTTTAAAAAATTAATTTAATATATATTCATACACTGAAATAAGGGCAAATTTGGTTGAGCACAAAATTATGAACTACATTACATTATTTAGGTCAATTTGTTACTTACATAATTCATAAATTTCCAAACGTATTTAGCTTTCAAATTAAAATTTTTATTTATTCTTTATTATTCAATCATTTGTATTATATTGTGTTAATTTTATTAGATTAGAAATAAGACTGATAAAAATAATAATTATTAATTAGATTTAGTTATAATAACAAATATTTCTAATACTATATAATAAGTATCTAATCTATTTATTTACTTACTTATATATAATTTGCTAAGATTATATAGAGGATATACTAATATATTAGTTAAACAATTTAATATAACAAACAAAAATTCTAAAAGGTATCGATTCTTTTGACACCATAGCAACCATCAACTGTAGGTAAACATTTTGTACAATTTGGAATAACCTCATTAATTTTCTATGATACTTTTTTACTTTATATGGATTAAAATTGTTTAAAATATTATAAACAAAAATGGTCAGAAAGAAAAACAACGCGCCTGAAGTGCACAAGTTTTATTATTATAAACCGGGGCAGAACGCTGAAAATACAAAAGTAAGACCACCAAGTTTTTTTTATTATAAATTTACAGTTGTGATTTTAAAGTGCAATGAAAAATGTTGTTAAATTTATAGGCAAACAGAAGTATAGGATTGCTTATTCCGAGCAGTACATACGATCGATACGTTAATTATGCTATGGAAAATGAAAAAGTCACTCTCTTGGCCGAGCGAGAAGCTAAGAGATTGGCAAGTATTAGAGAAGCCACGTTTAACATATCTAAATCGTGGAACGATACTACGCGAGTACGCATTTCACCCATTAGTTTATACAAATTTATACAAAAATTATATATGTCATTTGTTTATTTTGTATTGTAGAATATCCAAAAATGTAGACAAGACGAGTTGCTTTCCATTAAAAATCAATCAGATCTCGATAAACAAAACGTTATCAAAGAAATAATTGAGAAGAAAATATTGGAACGAACCGAAGTAGTACAGCAAGCGAAAGAATTGCTTTTTCATAGAAGACCCCACATTCGTTCAATAAATCGAGCTCGTATAATATCAGATGTAATATTTATGTCCATTCACAATCAATAGATTTATTAAAATAAATAATACATAGTAGCAACTATTGCAATTAATACACAACTCACAAATATATTAATATTTTATTTTGTAGTGTATTAAGGAATTGGATGAGCAGGTAAAAACTCGTGCGTTGGAAAGGGAAATTGCTAAAAATTCCGACAAAGAAAATGGCCAATTAATTTTAGAGGATGTAAAGAAATTTCAACAAGAAGAGCAGAAGAAACGTGAAGATATTAATCAAATGAGGCAGAACCACAAAGCTTATATACTTAAGCAGTTTGTATATAAGATATTGATTCTCTAATGAATTTCATTTACTATATAAACTATTATAAACGCTTGGATGTTAATTACTCGTGTATTATTTCAGAATAAAACAGAATGAAATGAACTTAAAGAAAATTACAGAATCAACAAAACTAACTGAAATTGAAGAACTGAAGAATATGAGAAAAGAATTACATGAAATAGAAGAAAAAGAGATACATAAGGTAGGATTGAGAAAGAACTTGAAAAACTTAATACATACGCGCGCGCATTTATGATATATAAACAAACGTATTATATGTAATAAGTTCTAAGTTAAAAAAAAAAAAAAAAGTTTAAATATACATTCAAATTTTATGGCAGGAGTTGCAAAAAAAAGAGAAATTAAAAAAAATGTTTCTCGAAGCCATTGAAGATAGAAAAGAGTACACATTAAAAGTTCAAGATAGTGAAAAATTTCAAGAACAAAATTTAAAAACGTACAAGGACTTAAAATGGAATATTGATAAATTGGTTAAAAAGAAAAAGAAAAATGCTAAATTAGAAGAGATTCATAAACTTGAAATTCTAGGTTCATTTATAACGTTAATTTGACATGATAATTTTATTTTCTTATTTTCTTTTTTCTTTTTTCATTTTTTCTTTTTTCTTACCTTTTTTTTCTCATAATAATAATATTTCAGCAAGGAAAATTGGCAGACGTAATGAAAGAAGTAATTTAGAGAACGAAGAAAAAGATAGAAAGAGAATTGAAGCATATGAAGAGCAAAAGAGAATGGAAGACTTAAAATTAATCGAAGATAAAAAGCAAAAAAGAATCAAGGCTTATGATGATATGAAAGAACAAATAAAGAATGTCACGGATAAGCAAGAGAAGAAGATAAAAGAGGAGATGGATTTAAAATTATGGGAAACTTTACAAAGATATAAACGCGATGAGTTTAATAAAGAATATGATTTACAGCAAAAGCAAGCAGAGAGAGAGAAACGATTATATTATGGAAGGGCACTTAAAAGACAAATGGTTAATTGTATTTATCAAAAAATTGATTTGAATTAGCCATAAACTTTTGTCAATTATGATATATTATTTATTTAGGCTGAAAGAAGCGCGGAAAAGAAGAAGGCTGCGGAAGAAAATGATTATTCTATTGAGATGAACGAAATGACGAATAAAGCGAATGAAAAGATTTTATCATACGGTAAAAAAGTCTTGGAAGAGTCGCAGGGTGTTCGGCCTCTTTATCCAATAACCAAAACGATTGAAGTAAGGAAGCTGGTTTAATGCAATATAATTTAATTATTTCAGTTCTTTTAAGGCTAACAATTCAACTATTTTTTTTTTTTTTTTTTTTTTTTTTTTTTTTTTTGTTAACATTTCAGGCATTCAAAAGAGAAATAGGCTTGATAGCACCATTCAATAGGGAAACGGACACCGAAGCTCCGCTTAGAAATATAAAAAGAAAAGGTAACCGACGAATAATTTGTACGAGACCTATTAAGGAAGAAGATGCCTTTTATATCTTGTAAAATACTATTTCACTTTGTAATTTCTATATATATATTGTGGGACGTTTTGACAATTAAAGCAATTCTTCGCATTAAATAATTTTCCTAAATTAACTATTGGATAGAAATTTTCGCAGCAGAACAATACGATGAATAATTTCGTGTTCAATTGTTTTGAATTACACGGCGGGCGTGTTTCTTAACCTGAGCTATATTGACTCGTAGTATTTTACAAATTTAGCTATGGAGTCGTTATTGCAATATTGTATAAATTAACTTTACAATGATTAAATCGTCGATACGCCGAAGGAAGATAAAGTAAGAAAATAAAGTAAAAGAAAATTAGTGAGAAATAAATTGGAAGAATGGCTACTGAGCGGAAAGACGAGGCAACAGCGGTGGAGCAGAGAAAGTCTCTTTCGTCGGCTCTACCTTTTATAAGCGCTGGCATATCCGGGTATATCTTTCGTGCAAAATTAACCTTTGTATTTTAAAGAGACAACGAATGATTAAAAGCATCGGTACATTTATTAATAGAATGTGCGGGACGCTTTGCGTTCATCCAATGGACGTCCTAAAGATTCGAATGCAAATGAACAACGAATCCATCCCCATAATTAATATCATCGGATCTATAATACGCCGTGAAGGTCCTTTGACTTTTTACGACGGATTAAGTGCCGGACTCTTCCGACAAGCACTCTATACGTCTGCTAGATTGGGTATCTACAATAAACTTCACGACGCACACATGTACGTTCAAACCAGTTGGTTTCGGATAATCTCCAGATACATCGTTATACATGCGCGCGCGCGCGCGTGTGTGTGTGTGCTACGTTTGAAAAATTAAACGTTTACAGAACCTATTACGCGCAGAGACCGACAATTATAATTTTGATATTCATCGCAGCGATTTCCGGTTCTCTTGGTGCATTTATCAGCACACCAGCGGACGTCGCTTTAGTTAGGATGAGCTCGGATGGAAGATTATCATCAGGTTAGGAATTTCACTTTACCATTTTTCTCCGCAAAATTCATTAATACGACGATCCGTAATTATTGAATTTTAAAGTCCAGCCTAATTTACTTGTTCGATGTTCGTGAAAAAGCACGACATTATAAGCCCATGCTCGGTTGAATTTATATGCGAGAGAGACCGAACGAGACGTAAAAGATTGATACGCGAGTCGAGCCTGAAAAATCAAGCCCTCGATTTACAATCAAATAATTCAATAACATTATGCATCTTTTGATAAAAAATAAAAATAAAAAATAAAAAAATTAAAAAAAAATCTAATTAGCTTAAATAACGCGGGGATACCGTTTTCGAGACGGATTTTTACAGTCCTTGAATTCACATATTCTCAGCAACAAACGTGAGACTCCCTGCACGCTCGTATCCTTTACAATTAAAAACAATATGGATTAAGGAACGACCGGATCCTTGATAATCGAGCTTATCTAAATAATATAGCTTAACAGAATGACAACTGACCTATTATCTCTCGTTTTTCTCTCATCAACGAGAGCAAAGAAGAAACTACAAAAACGTCTTTGATGCCTTCTATCAAATGGTCAAAAAGAGCGGGGTGAGAAGTCTGTGGCGAGGTACCGGTATTACCATGGGTCGAGCTACGGTCGTCAACGTCTCTCAACTAGCCACCTACAGCCAAGCCAAAACTACCATCGCAACAAAGTGTAATAATCAGGCGAACGTCGCTTTAAGCAAACCTTACGTCATTTACATGCGAGCTAATGTCGAGCTTACTTCTTCTTCTTTACTCTTGCAGTTCATGTCCCCGAGGGCTATCCTCTTCACTTTTACGCCTCGTTGATATCCGGAATCATAACGACCGTCAATTCGATGCCATTAGACATCGCCAAGACACGGATACAAAATATACGTACGGCTAAGTCCTACTCGATTCTCGGTGTCATCGTCAATATTATCGAGCACGAGGGCATCCAGGCGCTGTGGAAAGGATTTTGGCCGAGTTACTGCAAAATAGGCACCCACACCACCATAATGCTCATGTGCAACGAGTGGATCACCAAATTCTATAGAATCACCTTTCTGGAATGAACGACACTCAACTTGTTCGCGCTAGCTTTACCTTATCAATGGGAATGTCCTGCCCGAAATGTATGCCAAGCGACTTTCGATTAATCACTTTAAATCGTCACTAGCTACTCACCAGCGATCTCCACTTTACTTATATCAACTCCATATTAACATTAAATTACAAAATTTCATTACAAGCCTTTCTAGCGATAATTACATCATCTATCCTAATGCATTATGAAAAATAACATCTCTTTACGAATAAAATAAATAAGCTTGGTAGAGTTTGTGATTTTATTACTCGAGGATAATAAATGTCCGATGTGTGCATGCTCCGCAACACAAAAGCCAATGTTTAAAAGGTGTCCGTAAGGCGGTAAGTCAGAAGCGAAGAAATTAATGGTAATAGGTAAAGTAGAGATTGCTTGAACGGAGAAGCCCAAAATTTGTTGGAAAGGTGCCGCTAAAGATGCTGTTGCGCGATTCGCAATTGCGTCGCCTGAGGACGCTCGACAAAATACGTCGATCAGCTGAAAATCACTGTGTATGCGCAAACAGCTTTTCTCCATCGTCCTCCCCACCTCTTTTACCTTACTCTCCACACTCCTCCTTCCCGCCCACACGATTCTCACTTTTTCTCTCTCTCTCTCTCTCTCTCTCTCTCTCTCTCTATCAAATATAAATATCGAGAGAGAGAGAGAGAGAGAGAGAGAGAGAGAGAGAGAGAGAGAGACGTGTACGTCGTACGCGCGTCACTGTTTATGTGCTCGTGTACGTAGGAATGGGTATATCTGCGCGTGTGCGTGCGCTCACGTATGTATGTATGGATAATACGCGAATCTGTGTATAATATGCGAATGAATTTATATTTAAAAACGTCGATGTGCAGATAGTAGTAGTAAACGACTTGAAATCACATCTCGCGGATGCTCGATTGAACGCTCATTTGAATTTGCGAGTTTGGTTAGTCACGTGTGCACTTGAGGTGTGCCGTTTGAACGCGCACTGACACTTGCGTCCTTCCTATTTGTAGTATATTTTCGACCGCGAGGTCGTCTGTTTCCAAACGATTTGAAAACATTGGTGAAGTGTAAGAGCGAAGAAGGTGAAGAGGGTCTATCGCCGGCAAACGATCGTCCCGCTTTTAAATATTACCGAACGAGCCGAGAACATTTTTCGTTTTAATACGAAAGATTTAATAGAACGATCATTGCGTTTAGATATTATTGGTAAACGAATAATTGTAACGGAAAATGAGCGAAAAAACAGTGCCGAACGCAGTCAAGTTCTTTATTGGCGGCTCGGCTGGGTAATTATGACATTGCAAATTTTTGTGCTTTAACCAACTTTAACTAGCATTTGTTTTTCTGTTGTCTTTTCAACAATTTGTTTTAATATCAATGGAATATTAAATTAAGCATAACATTGGACATAATTTTTGTTAATAATTTTGAATATAGATTCGGAGAATTCTTCTAGTCGTTATAAATAAACGTATTTCAATATTTGCTTAATCCACAATGATAACTTAATTGATAGCAACTCAAAATGCTGTACTATCGACACATTTATACGTATTTTTAAAGATAATTATAGTTAAATAAATTCCATAATTGTTAAAAGCTTTATGTAATTTTCATTTAATAATATAATCCAGATAAAATGTAATGTAATGTAATGAAATAATATAATATAATATAAATTATATATAAAACAATTGCTGTTTAAATTATACCTTCTTATCCATTCTTGTAAATTATCATTATTTAAGATTTTGATCGCTTAATTTCTAATTAATTAAATTGTTTGTGTCTCTTAAGTATGCTTGCAACTTGCTGTGTCCAACCGCTCGATCTTATAAAAAATCGCATGCAACTGAGTGGAACCAAAAGTTCCACCGTATCTGTCATTTCGTCAATTATAAAAAATGAAGGAATATTGGCAATGTATTCTGGTTTATCCGCTGGTTTATTGCGCCAAGCGACATATACGACGACAAGACTTGGAATATACACATGGCTCTTTGAAATAGTATCGTAAGTATTAAAAGGGCTACGACATTTAAAATCCAAGTATTTATTAATTCATAAATAACAATAGAAAAGATGGTCAACCAAGTTTTATTAAAAAAACTGGCCTAGGAATGTTCTCCGGATGTATTGGCGCATTTATTGGAACACCTGCAGAAGTGGCATTGATTAGAATGACAGCTGATGGAAGATTACCAGCTGGTAAGCTATCGTATCGGTCTAATATACTTGATTTTGTAAATTCATTATGTAATCTTTTAATTGAATTGTAAACTACATCAATTAAAATCCTGCTATCACAGAATATAAGATACATATATTATTAAAACTATTTAACAATGTTATTCCTCTGGTCATTTTAAATTATATGTAGATGAAAAAAGGAACTACAAGAATGTGTTTAATGCCCTATTTCGTATAACACGTGAAGAAGGAGTTTTAGCACTATGGCGAGGAGCTATTCCTACAATGGGCCGTGCTATGGTAGTTAACGGCGCTCAATTAGCCTCTTATTCACAAGCTAAGCAATTTCTTTTAGATACAGGTATCAATTATACATAATTATACAAAAGCATTATTAAATTACTTTCTAAAAATCAAATTCATCTCATTTGTAGGTTACTTTAAAGAAAATATTACTTTACATTTTGCAAGTTCAATGATTTCTGGTTTAGTAACAACAGCAGCCTCGATGCCAGTAGACATTGCTAAAACAAGGTTAGCTCAATTTTAATATTTTGTTACATGTGGTTTTATGCAAAAAAAAAATTCTTATTCAATTTAGAATACAAAATATGAAAATGACCAAAACTGGAAAGCCAGAATATACAGGTGCAATTGATGTATTGACTAAAGTTATACGGAACGAAGGATTATTTGCATTATGGACAGGATTCTTACCTTACTACGCTCGTTTGGGACCACATACTGTATTAACATTTATACTTTTAGAACAAATGACATCTTTATATAAGTTGCATATTGCATAATTATTAAATGAAGACGAATTATTTATATTAATTCGATATTAGCCAGAGGCAATTCAACGTTGGGAACAACAAATAAATTTTATTCTTTTATTATTACGCTTTTAAGTAACGAAACATTCTTCATGCATTCTTTTACAATAATAGAGTCGTTAGATATGATTATCAATATTCTAGAATATGTATTGTAATTATACAATTTCTGAGTTTGCATTGTTATAATTTTAGCTAATATATAAATAAATCTTCTTCCATCACATTGAAATTATATTGTTGATCACATTAATTTATAAAACTTGTACATTGAATATCGTGAAAAATGCAAATTTGTAAAATATAATTTCCAAACATTATTATTTATTTAGATGCATTAAACTCGTTAAATAGTCTGATACATATTCCAGAATATAAAATAATTTAAGGTAACTTAAACTTAATTTACATAATTATAAATATTAAAGCTACATTTGTTGAAGTTGAAAATGTAAATTTATCTTTTAATTTATTCTCGAAGAAATGTAAATAATTTTTTTAATGATTTAATTAGATCTGAATAGTTTTCAATATTACGAAATTTTATTAAAAAAAGAATTTTGAACGGTTCTAATGAACTATATTATAAATTGTTTATATTTATACGTTCTTCGATTTTTATTATTATTGAATTGAAATATTTTTACTTTTAAACCTCATTTATACATTATGATGTAGTGTTAATTGATTGTGATTTTTATTACAAAAATTAATTACTATTAAAAAAATACAATACTAAACTCATTTTATACAGAATAACAATTTTTTAATTTTATAAATTATATATTCTTTTTAGAAATACAATGATTTCTTATTAATATATGTAACTTTGATAAAAAAAAATAATAATAATAATAAAAATTAAATTAAATTCGATTATTTATCTTAATATTGTATAATTAAAAGAAAAAAATCTTTCAAGATTATAGTAATATCTTTTAAAAAATCGAAGATGTATGAAATAATATATGCTATATTGCAAATATTTTGTATATATCAAAGGCTTTATCATTTTTAAATTATAATTGGGGAAAGTAATATAAAATCCAATAATTTACAATGATGGCTTAAATTCATGTATAATCTTATTAAGTACTTATCACGATTGTTTCAAGAGAAAAATTGTTAAGCATTTCACAAAATATAACTGTTAAATATAAATTAATGCATTTGCAAAAATTCTGTTGGAGCATAAAACAAAATAATTTTATTATTTTATTAATATGAAATTTTCATGACAAAAAAAAATTGTTATCGATTATTGCAAAATTAAAATTTTAAACGCCGTGTAATTAGTATCTTTTGTTAAATGTGAAATATTAATGTACATTTGTCACGTATTTTATAAAAGAACTTTTCAGATATTACTGTATAAAGTAAATATTGGATATCAGTGTATGTATTTATATGTTATTAGTTAGAATGTTCCTACATTGTTTCAATTTGAAAAAATAAACAATATTTTTATAATTTTGTTCTCTACAATACATTTAATTTTATTTATTCATTTTGTTATGAATAATGAGCTTGAAAAACAACATATTTAATATGATAAAAACAAACTTGATTAAAATATAATTAAATCATAAATTAATTGATATAAGTTCATTAAATATTTTATATGAAATTATTTTTAGAAAAATTCTATATTTCTCGAAAAAATAAATGTTACATTGCTCATACAATTTTTTCTTTTTTTATTTTATTTTAAAAAGTGTAGTCATAATTAAACGAAGATGAGGCCTTGACAGCTTGCTCCAAGTAATTTTTATCGAAATAAAAGAAAACAAAAATGACTATAATAGTTATATATTACTATTGCGTACTTTGTCATTAAACGAGAAAGTATGAAAAAAGTTATGGACGATTAGAGTAGCGTATGAAAACAATTGCTTTTGACCCCTCCTACACTACCCAATACTATTCCCCATCCTAGAAGAATGATATCTCGGAAATCTAAACGAATGCTTACGGATACTGTAAAAAATTAGGTAATTACAGCTGAAGCCACATCATGGGGATTTTAGTCGTCAACCTGAACTGACAAATTTTCCAAAAAATACTGCACAACATAAATTTGAGTTCATTGAGTTAACCTGTTTTAGCGTCCTAGCCTCAGCCGAGACGTTACAAAAGGCTTTTAGTTGATCGAGGTGCGAGTATAAGGTGGAAATGCCAATTGACTACTCCCACAGTTCCCTGATGGTACGGTCGAGCTGTCGACAGATCTGATATATAGCTAAGCAGTTGCACAAATCTTCTGTAATTTCCAATTTGTAGGTTTAGATGAGTTTCTCCTTTAATCGGGGTTGGATTGAAGAAGAGCCGATCGAAACATGATTGGATTATTAAACATTTATCGTCGCAACGGTCTCTTAGTAGCTCCCAAGCTGGAGCAAGGATCTCGTTTCTGAGTGATAGTCCAGAGATTAACTGTGCTGCTGGACCTTCCAATGCGGCGCGAAGGTAATGCAGCTTTCCAACCTCGCTAATGTCATTGTTATCTATAATCAATACCTTGAATAGATCGTGAAATTGTAACCAGTCCATTGGGAAAGTATTTAATGTTCCAAGGCAAAGGTCGTTGATAATTTCTCGCGTTATCGAGAATTGTATTAATTCCTCGATTTAAGTCTTCTTCTCGAAATACTCGTGGTCACTCTGAGCAGCTGGCCATGTCATCTCCAAGTACGCATGTTCCATAATGAAGGGCTTGTGTGGAGCTTCTCGAAGTGTGACAAGGTTCGTGAAGTTTTCTCTGGGGAAATGTCGCGTTGCGATGACGTAAGTTTCACAGTCAGTTTCTTCATTAGTGAGATGCTAGATCATTGAGCTTTTGCCTTTTGCCTTTTGCCTTTATCTCAAGTTCGAAGGGTAAGTGTGTTGATGAGTCATTCCTGAGTGTGGATTTTCAAGGATTCTTAGTGTCCTTTTCTTTCATGCTTTCCTTGCTTGTTATGTTGTTGTTGGCTTGCACTGCAGAGAGGTGGGAGGTCGTAAGCATCTCCGGATGCTACTTAGTGTAGTGCCACGTGTTGCATAGTTTGCAGTAATGAAAATGTAACTGTTGGATTTTCGAAGTTGCACGTGTGCAGGGCATTGGTATGATGCACTACCATCCACTATATCCGGCTCGAAGGATCAAATGTTCGATAACTTTATTATAATTTGCCGCCCGCCCTAGTAAATGTTTGGGAAGGCTTTAAGCGGAAGGGCTGTAGAAATACAGTGTGTGCATATTTCGTTAAATATGGTTTATTATGATTTATTTACAGTTACATGATTGATGTGATGGATTATGTGATGGAAGGTGTATACTATGTTCAATCACAACAATGCAGTTGCTTTGAACTGATCCTGTGGTGAATAGTTTACCTACACGAGATGCTCCTTTTGATGGTGATGATGTTGTTGCTGATCTTGTCAGGATTAGCAATGTGCCTTGCACACTCCCTGACTATGTTTCTTGAAATTTAATATTTCTCTTGAGAAGGAGTAGATGGTGTCACTAAGTTGGTATCGACGGTTAATACGCACAGGCGAATGACGCGTGTTCCTACCTTGGCGTGTCCCTTGCTTTAAATATCCACGCGACAGCTTAGTTAGTGCTGATGACAATGGATGCGCTTGTGGTGCTAGAAAGATGTCCAACGACACTTATTTCAGATGTAATGACTTTTTCCAAATATTTAATGACAGTCGGTCCTTTCTCAGATGTCTAACACTTGGATAATTCCCGAAACCCAAACACTCGAGAGATTCGGAATCGGAATCTTGAACAATAATCGTTCAATTAATTTTAAATTTACACAAATGTAAATTGATATTAAGCAAGTTAAATAAGTACGTATATATTTTTCTAGTATAATTGTATTAATAAATTAGAATAGAAAAAAATGTACATACTAAGAAAAATAATATTGATTTATTCCAACATTGCATTACTATAAATTTACAATTGATTATTAGGAAATAACATTTTTTTACTACGAATAATAATTTCATGCATTTTCCATTATAAAGTCATATTGATAATACGAAAGCAAAATTTGACTGATAAAAATAAAGTTTTACAACGGCAAATTAACACATTATTACTTTTTATTAATTAATAGGATTTCTCCTTGTTTTTTGCCCGTACAACTCTTCTTTGTTTTAATAACAAAGTTTATTCGCTCATAAAATGTACGAATCAATTTTTCGACAGATTTCTTTGAGTTTAACACTTGCGAAAAGAAGTTGGATCATTTGTTGTCTTATTTAAATTTCATGCTTTATTTTCGTTGACAATTGGTTCAACTCGTTACATTAAAGTGTCGTAGCTTATTCATTTTTCATACGACTTATTTATGAATTAAAAATATATCGATAAAGAAATCTCTTAATGTTTGGTTAAACTATATACTTTTGTTTTTACTCTTATTGTCACGACAATTTTCCCTCTAATATATTTCCTTTTTACAGAAAACAAGTGTCATTCTTATTAATTGCAATTAAGCGTGTAGATTCCCTCAGCACCTCATTTTTTTCTCGCCGTCAGAACAGAACCTATTACGACTAGATTGCGATTCAGATTGCAATTCTAATTATTCCACTAGTTTGTTGCTTCTCTCTCTCTCTCTCTCTCTCTCTCTCTCTCTCTCTCTCCTACCATCTATTGTTTAGTATGAAATGTCACGTATCGTCGTAAATTCACGTGTTGACACCATGCATTGGCCATTGAGTTCGCAGACTGTCAGTATTCAGAGTGTAGGTAGTGCAGGAGGTTATAGCATAAAGTCCACTGTGCCCTCTCCTCGACGCCTCTCAAAGCCACTGGCGTTAGTAGTACTCGTCGAGAGGAAATCGTGGGAGCTTGTATAATTACGGGTTTGTGATTACGATAGTTATTTCATGCTAAATTCGGAATACTCCCAATCGTCCAACATTGTTGTATCATATTATTCCCAAATCACAAAATGCTTTGTTTTTGGAGAAAAAGATACGTGTCGGCAATTGAATACAGGATCGATCATCAATTTGACTCAATTGATCTTCTACTTTTTAGAGGAAGGTGTAAAATAAGTATCGATGGTCGATTATACAATAAAAGAGCACTGTGTAAGACCATGTT